TCATCACTTTTAACAGTTGTTACCTATTTTTGAGATGCAAAGAGTTCAGTAGATGCTTATCACAAAGTGCCCTAGTTGGCTCTGAAGCTCAGACAGTTCCTGAAGTGCAACGGATTTATAGATAAATTTATGCTTATGTGGAATGTTTAATTTTAAATCATTTCCCTAGATCATATCTAAGGCAAAACTTAATCAGTTTCTGAAGCTTACACAACTAGATAGCTTCCATGAGGATTAGAAGCACACCTAAATTTTCTTCTACACATGAGTTTCTTTGAGATCACAAAAAGCTTCCATGCTGATTTAAAATGCTGCATAAAAGTAAGTGCACAGTAACGACCTATCAGAGGATGTTGAGTCAAGTGTTACATCACAAAACCTGAAGTCAAATGGCACATACCAAGACTTTCATGTTTTCTTAGTGGATAAGCTAAAGTACAGCACTCACCGAAGCCAAAGATATTCGAAGTTGAATACTTTTCTGGATGTCCATATCAAAGCAATAATAATGCCTTTAAAATCTCCTAAGGTGCACAGACTTTACACCTTTCGTCTGCTTCATGCTCGACACAGCAAACTATGTCACGATAACTATCTAAGGAAGCTTTGGGTTATCAAAATATACTAACCAAAAGTAAACAAGGCTTCTCAAATGAATTATATCGTACTGAAGCTTAAGAAATGCCAGGATAGTTATAGTAGACAACTGTCTGTCTGGATCTGATTGAAGTATCGTGAAAAGAAACTCATAACTGGAATACAGATAACTAAGCCCTTGATGCACTTCCACTTTCACCAGTGCTAAAATCCAGTACTTCAAGTGATCGAAAAGGTGGACGTTCTCCAAACTTCAACAAATGTGCAACTTCATAGACTGGGCGCAATTCTAAAATGGCTTGAACATCTAGGTATGAGTCACATGAGAAACACCAAACTGACAGATCACTGCAAAACATTATATACACAATGCTAAGTAATCATATGGTTTGCACAAGCTGCACAACCAGACAAAAAAACAATTAAAGCATGGCTAGAAACATAAGACGAGAAAAAAAATCAGTCTACAGCAACAAGTTCAGTAACTCCATAAAAGAATAATAAAGATAGTATAATCTAAGATAGTATGGGGTTTGCCACACACCCTGAGCCCTGGGTGCTTAGGTGTGTTGGTTCTGTGGACATCTATGGTTTTCAGTTTGCCTGTTACTCAAACTATTTTGTAATGTAGTTGCTTTTTAGTAATGAAATTCGGGTTTCCCATTGTGGAAAAAAAGACCAGCCACGAATTTTAATGTGTATTTTTGCATAATAAATTTTGTGACCTAGTCACTGTTCAGAGTTTGAAAATTCATGTTTGTGATGAATAATGCAGATGTAGCAACTTCAGAACTATGCTTTTTAGTTTTTTCTAGTAACAAGGATCAATTATCACTGTTCATTAGCTCAACAGCAAGTGAATCAATCGATCATGCATTCAATGAGTGATCACTTGAAACAATGAATCATAGCACCACAAAGGCTGCATTTGGCACAATGGCTTTTCAAAAGCATAGAGATAGAAGCTGTGGACCATTGAGGTTAGTGATCCAGTGGTCACTAGTCTGATCAGTAGCCCACCTGTTGAGCCAGTGTAGTCATGTATTATTTCTTACAAGAAATCATGTATGTAGGGATAAACACTAGAGAATTATTCAGACTTATTGATAGGTAAAGGCTGAGATCATGCGTAGTCATGAAACTAGGATGATAAGGTGTTATGTGGAATTAAGGAATATTATTTATTTGCAACAAAATTAACAATTAATCAAAGCAAGCTCAACAAATTACCTGAAGCTCAAAGCAAGACAGTGACCAGTTTCTTGATGATGGCACAGCATATGTTTGTTGATAAAACGACTGCACAGCGCATCTTTGCATATCAAGCATAACCAGTTTTCAGCAGGGTGATGACATCTGCATGAAAAAATCCCCTCATGAGAAAAATCACATGAATATTCTGAAGTACATTGTACTCAACGTTTATAAATCTGTGGTGCCACTAGGGGCTCATGCACTCAATCTGGATTGCATGAGCCAAATTTCAGTACAGGAAAATGTTGACACCACATGCTCCTGCCTTTATGTGCCAACTCATCTCAATGGAATTAGTGCCATAGTCACAGGAGTCAGGGTCAATGGAGCGACAGTTCATGGCCCAGTGATGCCATTCTAAATCAAGGGTCATGGTCGAGTAGGCCAAGTTTTTGCTTGGGTACGGTTCTGCTGATACAGGGACATATCATGGGATCGAATAGGTTGTATTGAGGAATGGGGGAGAGGAGGGGGGGATGATGGAGGTTTGTCATTGCTGGGTGTGGACAGCAGCCAACATTGAAGAGAATTTCCTGCCACCGGAGGACAGAACCATGCAGCATGGGGAGCAGCAGTAGCCAACCAAAAATTAAGCCAATCTCCAATGAAAATGAGAGAGGATCTCGAAAGCAGAAGAAGGGGAGAAGGCGGCTGCGTGAATTAGTCCTCAGACTAGAAGAGGGTTAGCCTTGAGCAACATAATGTGGGTAGTGGGCAGGGATGGGCAAGCATACGTCAAAACGTTTACCTTTTCTTCTTATTTTGTTGCCTTTATTACTTTGTATTGATATTCTGTAACTAGCTTGTGCATGATATATCATAGATTCATAGCTCATCGACCTCGATTAACTTGGGTCACATGTTCCAAAGAACCCTTCGACCCACACTTTTAGATACCGGCAACCTGCGCCATCGATCCTGACTCGCAAGTCGCAACCCGTCAACCAGATTTCTGGTGACTGTGGTTAGTGAACAAGCATACAAGTAGTTAATATAACTAGCCCGGTAGATGTCAACACCATGTTTGACAGGCTTTCAAGTGTACACCTTAAAACACTGTTTTGAGGGAAATGACACAAGCTTTATATGCTCTTTTAGAAAAGCTAGATAGCATGTCCAAATGGGATACATTTTACACATGCCATCCATGCACACACACCATATAACTTTTACATTATCGTGATGAATGAGCCATGGATCAGTGCATCACCATCTCAGATCTCACTAGTCACTAGATGTTTCAGCACTTCAAATAAGGGACAAGTCTTCAGGCAGATGCCAGTTCAACCAAATTGTGGTAATGAAAAAAATTATCTTGAAAATCAATGAACCTAATACCCTAACCATCTCCGACAATTGGAGCCTTGTGGTGTATCAAAGACATTTTTTCGCATGGTCCATAGCACATAGCTCATTATGAGACAAAACCTGCACATACAGTGCCATATAATGGAAGAAAACAAATTGTTCAACTGGAACTCAAATAAAGGAATGAAAATTTCTTAAACTGAAGCTCCTGGGCGATAAACGCTGCACATATAGTCGAACTGGAACTCAAATAAACGCTGCAAATATAGTCCATGTTCATCAGTTCCAAGACTATTTCACCAATCATAAAATACTACATCTTAAATTCAACAATAAATGAACAATTTCTATCCACATCTTACATATATAGTATAACAATATTTTCACTCAGCATTGGCTTGGCAGAAACGCTAGAATGGTTAGATGCACTTACATTTACTCTACAGGTATGCAACTTATGGCAAGAAATCTTACTTCGGCACCCCTTAACAGGTTTATTGGTTCCAAACAAAAGACTTGGCTATTTTATCAAAAAAAAAAGACTTGGCTATTAATATGAACTGAAACTGGCCATTAGTGGGCAGGGCAGCAGAATAACCAAAAGCAAAATCACCATCAATGCACTCCCTTAGTGACACAAAGTGCATTCCCAGGAATGTAGCAAGTAATGGAGATTCCCTCACTGAAAGCATTGCAAGAGCTATGCAGTACATGCTAAGTTATCCTGCTATCAGATCTTGTAATAATTGTCTTAGCACTTAGCAGTGCAATGAACACCAGTCTCTGACCAGTGCGCGGTTAATGGCTTACCCCAGGTAGATCAGCACCCAATCCCAGTGAATCACTGATCAACCCAATTGTTTTGAAGACCTAAATTACCTAATGATTTTTACGGACATAACTGAGCTACGATTTGTTTCAGTTGATAACCTAATACTTTTGGTCGAACCAAAGAACCAATCGATAGGTTCTGAACATGCAATTGTCTGACCACAACATTTACTGTCACAACCCACAATCAATAATCACCTTGTCAGCAAGTAAAAACCTCTGTTCCTCAACATGTTAAATCGATCGTCTCAGTATTGTTCAGGAAAATTGAACTCCGAGAAATTCCAAAGAATCCACAGAGAATTCGAGCAGGAGGGAGGTGCCCCAAACCTGGAGCACGGAGAGTCTGGCGGAGGCACGCGAGCGAGGTCGTCAGCACCAGCCAGCGGCATGGTGCCGAGGTGCGGGCAGCTGGTCCGCGCCTCTACCCACCCCGCCGCCGCGCCGTACAGGTCACCCAAATCTCCTTTTCCGTCGTCCACCTCGACCCCCTCCTCACGTTGGCTCCTCCCGTCGGCGCCATCCTCCTCCCTCTCCTTCCCCTGTGGCACAAACGCACGGACCCGGCCGGAGGGATGTAAGAGAAAGGGAAAAAGCAGATACAATACAACCTGGAAGGGGGGGGGGCGTGTATCGCACCTTTTGAGACGACAAAGAACCGTCACCGGCGACGGAAGACATCGTCGGAGACGAAGCGGCGGCGGCCGGAGGAGACAGGAGACGATTGATCGACGGAATCGTCGACCTCTTACCAGGCAGGGTAGAGTTGGCCTAAACTACACAGTCATATGGCCCAACTGGCCCATGAAGGTCCATTTTGGCCCAATGATAGGACTATGGAACTACGGGCCATTCGGCCCAATCAGGCCTGCTCCTGCGTTAGGGTTTAGCTCGCCGCGTCTGCTATATAATCTTCCGCTTCTCCCAACGGCGCCGCCACTCGCCACCAACTCCATCTCTCTCTCTCTCCTCACCAGCGCTTGCGGCGGCGGCAGCGGGAGGAGGCGGCGATGGGGCACTCCAACGTGTGGAACTCGCACCCCAAGAACTACGGGCCCGGATCCCGCGTCTGGTACGTGCGTTCGCTTTAGCCGCACATGTTCCTGATGCGTAGAGTTGGGGGGTTCGGATTGGCTTCCTCACGCGCGCATGATGTCTTTGAATGAATCTAAGGCGTAGAGGTAGGATACTTCTTTCTCGGCGGGGATTTAGGTTCCTCCGTCGATGGGTGATACGATTTCTGCGGCGGCTATCGGCGCTAGGATCGATGTGATTCGAGCTTGTGTAGCGTTTTCGAGGGTTCGTTAGCTCCATTGAGATTGATTATTGTGGTTTAGTACTAGCCTGCTCGTTTATGGATCGTTTGCCTAGGGTACAGTCAGTGTAAGTTCCATTGATTGATTATTGTGGTTTAGTACTAGCCTGCTCGTTTATGGGTCGTTTGCCTAGGGTACAGTCAGTGTAATTTTTTACATGTCTGTATTCATTGTTGTTATGTATGGCACTTAAGTTTTTGTTCTAACAATTCAGCTAAAACAGGAGTATTAGTATTAGTGCTAATGTACTTATCCGAACTTGTTCACTTTTGCAGCCGGGTCTGCGCGAACCCTCATGGACTGATCAGGAAGTACGGACTGATGTGCTGCAGGCAGTGCTTCCGCAGCAACGCCAAGGACATTGGCTTCATCAAGGTATACGATATAAGCTTCAAAATGCTGTGTGAATGATGCTTACCATCAGTAATGCTAATAATACACTATTCTGTTAGCCTCCATAATAAACATGGATGGCTCCAAGATTCTACGGTGTAAAGTGTCTGATACTCCTCAATAGTTCTATTATCTCTGTTTTGAGGACATTTTGCACTCTAGGGCATTTCTGTTTATTTAGACTGTTCCCTTTGATGCTTTGTTACCTTTCTTGCAAGTGCAGCTGTGGTATTTTGTTGAAATGTGCCCTTTACTTAGCAGATATTCTATTTATTCAAAGAATGAATTGTGGTTATATGTTTTCTTGTTTGTATAAAAACATTCATGTATGACACTTAAAATGCTGACAATCTGCTGTGGTATTTTGTTGAAATGTGCATTTTGCTATATTTTGCTGCTAAAAGAATGAACTGTGGTTATATGTTTTTTTGTTTGTATAAAAACATTCATGTATGACAGTTCAAATGCTGACAATTGTTTTTGTTACCCATGTCAATGTTTTTGAATTTTCTCCAATTTGGTTCGACCTACTATCACTCCTTAACTAATGCATTGCCAATGGTTTTGTTGCAGTACCGCTGAAATCAGCTGGGCTATGAGAGCTGGGTTATGAGGACGAGGTTTGGCATGGACCCTATGGTAGATCAAGGCCACAATTTTAATTCCAGTAATTTAGATGTTTTGTTCAGAACTCTGCTAGTAAAGTCCGCCATGTTTGTCATATTGAACATGAGTTACCTGTGTTGTGCTTAAGCTATCTTGTGTCCTACCATCATGTTTGTCACCCGTTGGTTATCAGGAATTCTGTAATGTCGAATGGTTAAGGTGCCATAATAATACTTGTATGTGCATCCTTGTTAAGTGTGGACGGATCAATGTTTCCATTTGTGGTTGTAGCGCACTCGTTAGAAAATGCTGCTGGGCCTGTACAGCATCGACATCATGCATCACACCATAGGATTTACTCCATGGAAAATCTTGCCCTGGATTGTTATCTGATGGATGCTGAATAGAAATAGGATTCCAGGGTTGTGACAATGAAATTGTACGCCAACAAGAGAGCCATGTAGTACTGAGGGCCTGATTGGATAATACACCTTCTCTAAAATTTCTGTCACATCGAATGTTTGACATATGGAGTATTAAATATAGACTAATTATGAAACTAATTACATAACTTGCGACTAATTTGCGAGACGAATCTTCTAAGTCTAATTAGTTTATGATTTGATAATGCGATGCTACAGTAACATGTGCTAATGACAGATTAATTAGGCTTAAAAAATTCGTCTCAGAAATTAGTCTCCATCTATGTAATTGATTTTGTAATTAACTTATATTTAATACTCCTTATTAGCATTTAAATATTTAATGTGATGCTTTTAAACAGAAATAAACACTCCAGGGTGGTAGTTCTTTTAGACAGATGAAATTTCATAAGGCTGCAGTCATTCTTCCAAAGCAAGAGAATCGGGCCATGTTTGGTTTCTGTAGTACTGAGTTGTGGCATCGAATCTTATAGAGTATTAAATGTAGACTGATTACGCTAATTGTCCAACTTATTTCAGATTTACAAACGGCTGCAGATTTGACAACATGGTCTTCCAAATATGTTAATAACAGATTAATTAGAGGTCATCTATATGTAATTGGTTTTGTAATTAATTTATATTTAATGATCTAAACATTGCCGCTCATTTCAGTTATCGCATTTTCTGGGACCTCGCTCTTGTACGCAAGTGGGGTAGCTGGCAGCAATAGTAAAATTCAGACGGATGAGTTGTTGAACCATGATGTGTAAGTGTAACAGTGATCGTACTCGTTAAAACTCTGAAATCAGAGGGTAAATCTAGCATCTCGTTAACATCCAACAGTTTTAGCTAAATCCATGCATAGCCGAGTTTGAGCTGCAGAACTCCCTCCCGTTGCAAGTGTCATTTGTCTCATTTCTTTTAGCAAGTAGCCAAGTAGCAGAACTCCCTCCCGTTGCAAGTGTCATTCGTCTCATTTCTTTTAGCAACCAGCCAAGTACAGTGGGTCTTACGGAAAGAAAGCAGGGTACCACCACCAATTGTGGCGTCAAGATTCATGCAGCACTGACACAACGTAAACTGTAAATAAAGTCCATTTTGAACAAGGAGGAGCATCGTTGACAAACGTAGACTAAAATAAAGTCCAGATGAACACGAGTCTACCCTCTAGTTAGACGAATGTGGTAACTTGGTGAGTACGAATGAACCGCAAGGCCAAGATAGAGTCTATGGAGGGTTATGTGGTTCGACTATCTTCAACAACAACACCCAAAATATAAAATCCATTTTATATTTGGGTAGCACTATATGCAAAGAGTTTAATACCTATTTTTTTCTTCTCCAATAACATGACCCAAAATAGAACCTTTTTAAAAATGAGTCTTTAAGAGAGATGATGTTCATATTTGGGTTATGCCTCGGCTGTCACCCAAAATAGGTTTTGCATATAGGTCTTCTCTAATACCTATTTTGTGTTTGGGTGCCCATATGGATCACCTATTGAAGACAGTCTAAGTGCTCTCACAGATGGTTTGGCTGAATGGGTGGACGGTCCATTGGGTCAAGGGTGAGGCAGTGCAAACTATAGGTGGCTTGGTGTAGCCAAGTGAGCTAGTAGACTATCCGCCTACTTAGGACAATGGTGTTGCAAAAGTGGCATAACTTTGCCTAGTTCACATGGATGGTCCACCTAGACATATGAATGGTGCGTGTGAGAGAAGTCGAGGTTTTTATCGTCTAATGTGGTTTCATGGATGGTCATAGGTGGCTTATGGAGGTCCGCTAGGTCAAGGACTTAACAGGGCTGCTTTGTTGATTTGGTTGTGTGTGGGCAAATGTTCCTAGTGGTGTGCCAAACTATTTGTCCGTGCATCAATTAATGGTCAGGACTTAGTTCTTCTAGCTATCCAATAGTGTAAGGTGGTTCATAGCTGCTTCGGCTCTATCCTATGGATCGCTAATGGTCCTAGGGGTTCAATCTAGAACCTATGTGATGAGTGAGTTAAGGTGACCTAGGCTAGGGTTTGGGGCCTAGATGACATTCATGACTAGGTAACCTCAAAATTGAGAAATACTTAGTAGTGGGGCTTGATTTATAGAGCACCTCGTGAATGGAAGTTGGGCTCTACTTAACTCCTATGGAGTCCCCACACCCATGGGAGGAGGAAAAGCCACCAAGAATCATCTTTAGGGAGATTAAGATGTTGATGAAGACCTTCTTGACACCAAGATTGGGTAGGAGATTGATGGCATGGAGGGATTAGGACTTGATGCATGGAGAGAGGGGTTAGAGAGTTATGGAATTAGAGATTGGGAGGTAGAGAGGGTGTTGTTCTGCTAGTGCTTTTTGCGAAATGACAGGTCCTCTAGTGGGCTGTCCAATAGGACCATCAAACGGTTTGCTAGACCCAAGATGACCCGACTAGCTGACTAGTCAACTCAACCTGATGTAGGCATTCTCGGTTCAACAAAGGGGGCACTTGCTAGGGTCAGTAATGATTTCAAAGGTTTAGGGTATGGAGTGTTTAGTTTGACTTAGAGATGAGCTAGGATAGTGTAGCCCTAAGTAAGAAGGGATTCAAGAACATAGGACTAGAGCCAAGGTAGCATGTGAAAACTTGCTTTATTGTATTTAGGAAGGAGCCATGACTTATAAGGGATTAGTTTAAGAGGGATTTAGGTCTAAGGGATGAAAGATTCGGTGGTCAACATGAGGGTCTAATCCTGCGAGATATTTAACCTTTGGGGTAAAGGAGTGCCCTAATGGCATAGGGAGAAGGTGAAGCAAGTTGAATGACCCAGATCATAATAATTACCTAAAGAGAGTGTCTTTTCAGGGATTTCGGGTCAGGGTCTATAGTGCCTCAGAGGCAAAAAGTAGATTACTCAAGGTGAGACGTGAGTTAAGATTTATTCCACTACTACAGATTGACTTATCACCAACACCTTTATCATCGCCGGTATCATTAAAACCGTTGGCTATCACCAACGGTTCATAATATGAACTGTTGGTGATGAGAGTATCACCGCCGGTTCGTAAGAACGTGCGGTTGATAACTATCATCGTCGCTTCGTCTTACCACCAGCGGTGATAGTCCATCATCACAGCTGCTTTGCACCACCAACCGGCGGTGATAATGTGTTCCTCATCACTGCCTCCTCGCTATATGAACCAGCGTTGAAGATATTTTCACCACCAGCTTGTTGTATGATTCGACGGTGATAACCATGCTGCAGTATAAATAAATTCATAACTTTTTCAAATAAAGTCAGATGAAAACATAATTTATATAAAAGTTGTAGATCTCGACGAGATCGACAACTTTGTAGTTGTTGGCTTTTCATTTGAAGCCATTTATGATCCCAGAATTCTATTTAAAGCACTCAAATTTTGAAATTCAATTTTTTTGAATTGTACAAACGACCTTAGATGAAAAAATGACCAAAACCAAAGTTGTAGATCTCGATGAGACATACAACTTTGTAGTTGACAACTATTTCATTAGAAATCATTTATAGTCTCAAATTTGTATATAAAGTTTTAAAATTTTAAAAACCAAAATTTTCAAATAACCTTGGATGGAAAATCTATCAAAAGCAAAGTTGTAGACTTTGATGAGAACAACAACTTTGTAGTTGATGAATTTTTCATTTGAAATCATTTGAGGTCCCAAAAGTCTGGTTGAAGTTTTGACGTTTTGAAATTTAACTTTGTTAAACGACCTCGGATGGTGAAACAACCAAAATCAAAGTTGTAGATCTTGATTAGAACAACAAATTTATAGTTTATGACTTTTAAATATGAAGTCGTTTAGGGTTCTAAATATTCATTTTAAATTCTAAAAAGTGAATACTAGGAAAATGGATATGCTATATAGACACAAGGGACTTAGAGGTGGAGTGGTTAGAGGAGAGTGGTCAGAGGAGCAAAGATCTCATGTTTGAATCCCAACACCGCGTACCATGAAAAATATCATGGAGCTGGAG